AATCGGATGGTGTATCTGCTGGTGCCGCTCGACATCGGCTCCAAGACTCATCGGCAGGATCACATTTACGACGAGGAACGCGCGAGCAACAGCATCACGAACAGCGTGGCGAGCGACAGCGGCGACGCCGAGTCCGGATTCGAGGAGACGGATCCGGGCGAGACCGGCAGCGCCGTCATCCGCATGGTCTCGCGATTCGTCGATCGCGTGTGCAACGAGGGTGGCGTCAGCGCCGAGCACGTGCGCTGCTTGCACCAGATGGTGCCGGGTGTCGTTCATATGCACATCGAGACACTCGAGGCGGTTCACAGGGAGAGCAAGAGACTGCCGCCGATACAGAAGCCGAAGATTCTCACGCCGAACATGCTGCCCGGCGAGGAGGTGATAATGGACGGGCTGCGCGTTTATCTGCTGCCGGACGGCCGGGAGGAGAGCTCCGCGGGACTGCCGAAGATACCGCCTCTCTTGCCAGCCGAGGGCGCCATCTTCCTCACGAATTACAGGATAGTGTTCAAGGGCATTCCGTGCGATCCGTTCGCCTGCGAGCAGCTGGTTGTCCGCGCTTTCCCCGTGACGTCTCTGACGAAGGAGAAGCGTGTCGCGGTGCAGCACCTGGCGCATCTGGACCAGTGTCTGCAGGAGGGCCTGCAGTTGCGCTCCTGCACGTTTCAGCTGATAAAGCTCGCCTTCGACGAGGAGGTGACGCCCGAGAACATCGACACCTTGAGAAAACTGGTGCACAAGGCGCGATATCCGCCACACATCTTCCACCACTTCGCGTTTAACGGTCAGGTCTTGGTCACGCAGACGGCGCATCACAAGGGCAAGGAGAAGAATGCCACTTTGAAAGGTTTCGCGAAGAAGACGCTGCTGAAAACCGCGAGGAAGGCCGGCTTCAAGCCGAAGCAGTCGTCCAAACGGCAAAAGTACGTGCTGCCGAACATGAATCTCATCAACAGCAACAACAAGTACATGACGTCGCCCGGCCGGATGAGCTTGCCGATGACCGACAGCAACGATCTCAGTCACGACGACGACCTCAGCGTGGACGACTTCGAGATTCCCGGCATAGTGACGCAGCCGCCAGTGACCGATGCGAAAACATTGGAGCGCTTATCCGAGCGCAGCTACGTCAGGGACTGGTATCGATTGGGTCTCTACTCGAACGGGCCGCACAACAACCGTCGGAACGAGCCCTTTCGACTGACCTCGGTGAACTGCGCCTACATGATCTGCCGCAGTTATCCCGCGCTTCTGATCGTCCCCACTTCCGTGTCGGACGAGAGTATCCGGCGATTCTGCAGACTCTACCGGCACAGCAGAATGCCAGTCGTCACCTGGAGACATCCGCGAACGAAGGCGCTGCTGATCAGAGGCGCGGGTTACCACGGCAAGGGCGTGATGGGCATGCTCAAGGCTCACCCGACCTCCGGCAGCAATCTGAAGACCACGTCTTCGGAGACCACGTCCTCCCTGGAGCAGGAGAAGTACATGATGGCGCTCGTGGCCGTGACGCCGCTCTCCGTGCTGCGACAGGGCTCCGCTTGGGGCATGTCCGACAGCTCGCTGAGCATAGATTCGCTTCTATTAGCCGCTGAAGATCGCAACGCCACGCCCGAGCAGTCGCGCCGCAATCCGTTCAACAAACCCCTCGGCACCCTGAGCTCGTCTGGCGGCAAGGGTCCCAAGAACTTCGGCCGATGGGGCTCGCTGAAGGACAAGAGGCATAATTCACAGGCTTCTCTGACTTCCGTTCACCATCAGCGCGGCACCGTCAGACACTCCGCGGACTCCGACAGCGGTACGGAATGCGTTCACACGTTTCAGCGCGCCGCTCTCTACGTTCTCGGCGAGAAGGCGCACATGAAGGGCGTGAAAGCGGAATCCACACCGAAGACGGACTTCATTCCGGTGGAGTATTACGACGTGAGGCACACGAAGGCCGCGTTCAAGAAGCTGATGCGAGCGTGCGTGCCGAGCTCGCCGAACGTCGAGCCCGATCAGAGCTTCTACAGGCTCGTCGAGAGCTCGGAGTGGTTGCAGCAGTTGCAGAATCTCATGCAGCTGGCCGGAGCGGTTATAGATCTAATGGACATGCAGGGCTCGTCGGTGGCGGTCTGCCTGGAGGACGGCTGGGACACCACGACCACCGTTTGTTCCATAGCGCAGGTGTGCCTCGATCCGCACTACAGAACGATCGACGGCTTCAGGACGCTGATCGAGAAAGAGTGGCTCGGCTTCGGTCACAGATTCGGCCACCGGAGCAATCTCGCCGCGAACTCGCAGACGACGAACTTTACGCCCACGTTTCTGCAGTTCCTCGACATAGCGCACCAGATACAGAAACAGTTCCCCCTGGCGTTCGAGTTCAACGAGTATTATCTCAAGTTCCTGGCCTATCACTCGGTGTCCTGCCGCTTCCGCACGTTCCTACTGGACTGCGAGTTCGACCGGGTGGAGTGCGGCATCACCGCCATCGAGGACAAAAGGGGCTCTCTGACGAGTCACCACAAGGGCGTGGACACCGGCGGCAGCGACGACGAAACCATCTATCCCGGCGGTAGATTGGCCGGCACGAATACCGGCTGTAATCTCGGACAAAGTATATTCGATTACATCGAGAAGCAGCACGCGCGATGCCCGCTGTTCTACAATTTTATGTACACGCCGAACACGGAGAACCCCATTCTGCGACCGGTCTCGCATCTGTCCAGCCTCGACATTTGGCAGTTCTATCTGGAAGAAGAACTGGCGCACGGGCCGGCCTACGACTTGGAAGTGCTGCAGCAGGATTCTCAACAGGAGGAGGAAGCCGAAGCTGCGGACGGCGTGGTGAAGAGCAATCGCAAAGTGGTCACTCAGGGGTGAGTGTTGCTTTTTAAATATCGCGCACGTTTGCAAAAAAATTGCAAACTTTACAAATCACGATTTCTTCCAGATACGACGGGGTGAACACGATGGTGCCCGATCAGTTCTCGCATCTTTTAGAGGAGATTCACAGATTGGAGACCGAGCTGGGACACTTGCCGCAAAAGTGGAAAGTACTCTGGGACAAGCTCGAGCTGCCGAACACCGACTCGCTTGCCGTAAGCTGCGATGCAACGTTTCTACAAGCAATTATATCTCCGAATATTTCAGCAATTGTAATCTATTCTTTCTCTAGCGGCACGCATCATTCAGCACGGCGCTTGTACGGTATCACGGTCGATTGATTCACAAACGTTCCACTTTGGAATTGTTATTACGCGGCAAGCTCGCTGGTGGAAACACCACCGGAAACGAAGGCTCCGTATACGCACATCCGCACAGGTATCGCATCAATATCGATTCTCTAGAATTCCCTCAAGATTGATCGAGTGTATTACAAGTGCGAATATTTGCCGAAGGTTTGAACGACTGGATTCCGCGACGCCGACTCACTGCGACGCGTGTTCCGGTGTGTTATGGGGTCCCGTGAAGGCTGGATTGAGATGCATCGATTGCGGCCACGTGTGTCACGACAAGTGCGCGGATGCTGTGCCAAAGAATTGCACAAAATACAAGGCTGTGACGGATAATCTTCAGACTCACACGCTTACGAGGAGCGGCGGCGATAACGGAAGTGTAAACTCAAGTATGCGTTGGTTCTATCGAATTCGATCGAATAATTAAACGCTTTTCATGTATAATCTTCACAGTTGCTGGTCCCGAAACTCTCTTGCTTATATCAATGTTGACTTTCGCTTCGCAGGTGTAACGACTATACAAACCTCCTCGCAACAATATTACGAACAATTCTCGAGTAACGTGGCGGAAAATAGAACGCACGAAGGCTATCTTTACAAGCGGGGAGCTCTGCTGAAGGGTTGGAAACAAAGATGGTTCGTACTGGATTCTATAAAACATCAATTGAGATATTACGACGCAGTGGAGGATTCGCACTGCAAGGGATATATAGGTATGTAATCGAGAACACAAGTGTAAAAGAAAATGGAATGAAATTCATTACGAAATAATGTCGCAGATTTGGCCGAAGTAGTATCTGTTACTCCAGCTGCGCCGATGCCCGGACCACCAAAGAAAACAGATGACAAATCCTTCTTCGATGTGAGTACGCACACATTTTAATAAAACTATATATAAAATAATGAAAGAAATGTAAACCTTCGCGTCATTAACTTTCGGTGGATTTTTCTAATTTTACAGATTAATTTATATTTACGTAACACAACACTGTCTACATACGCCATGTGTACATCGTATAAGCGTAAAATCGTTTGCTTTACAGCTCCGCACAAACAGACGAACGTACAACTTTTGCGCCGCCGATGCAGCCACGGCGCAAGAATGGATCGAGAAGGTTCAAGCGTGCTTACAATAATGTCACTGCTTGATTATAGTACTAATTTAAAATTCTGGATGTGACTGATATAGATGGTAAAACACAGATTTTAATTTTGTTACATAATCTTGTATAGTCTAATTGTATCGCGTCATAGACTGCAGTAATCTTGCTTTAAGTATTTTAAAATGCAAAACTCTCGTTGGACTGAAAATAGTATCATAAATTAAATGTGATACATTCATATCCTCGACATAGGATTAGTTTGTGAATATAATGTACATTGTGATTATATCGTTATGTTAAATTTGTATTCATTCAGCTGGAAGAGAGATGAGAGATCGCTACATGATGCGTCGCGCCTAAAAACATTTTTTTTATTTTGTTTATTGTGTTTTCTATTGTTTAAATTATAGTGGCATATGAATTGAGCATGGCTCATGCAAATCATGCACGTTCCTCAACATATATATGTATATATACGGAAAGTCTCAGGATTATCGTAGTTTTTATCGATTCGACAAATTGGGAGTAGCTTTTCCTCGACAAAGACATCGAAACTTTCTTTAAAATTATAAATAGTTAAAATGAGCAGTTTGCGAATTTTTTAGAAGCACCAATAAAACATTCCTCCAGTAGATTTTATTTTAATTAACGTTTGCGATATATCATTTTATTTTAATACAAAAATGATCCAATTTTTATCAAGGAAAAGGTCACCTCTAAATTTGTGTAAAAATCTCTTATGCTCTCTAAAGTAGATGAAAGGGATAGATGAACTCGAGACATTCTATATATATATATATATAGCAATTACATTAAACGCTGTTGTAATTAATATTATCATTATAGGTTGCGATCTCGTTTGTTAAAGGTGTTAAGCTCAAAGCTTATATAAGAAAGACAATTCTTTAAATGTATAAAAATATTTGATTAATACTCCTGCCATGCTGACGGTAAAATTAAATTGATAAGAGCAAATCTGGAGTATTTTTTGCTTACAATTTGTACCTACGAAATTAAGAACTATATCAATAAGCTTCATAAACCGTTGATTGGATTAATTATCTTAAATGAAGTGAGAAATATTAATAATTACAAAAATATATACAAGGATAATAATCAGAAAAAAGCTACAAAAAATAATCAAATTAGCCTACATATAAATTTAGATATTATTTCTATTAAATATCTTTTAAGAGAGAAAATAAACAGGCATGGAATTTTTTAAGATATTAATCAAATGCTTGGAAATTTTTATTCTAGATTATAAGAAAATTATCTAATTAAAATTAATTAGCTTTCCGTAAATTGACTCTCTTGAATATCGGATGACGCAGAATGGAAAAATTAAATAGATACACAACTACAATTTCGTAAGTGTAAAAATATACTCGAATCATATGTGCATACAGTTTTTTAATTATCATTCTCATCAAGATTTTGTACTATATTATACAGATTATTCACTAAAATCTTCCTCGTCGCTGAAATAATTATTCTTTTTATAACGTTTCTTTGGTATAGTTAAATCTTCTTTTCTATCACATTCGTCTGTCGTCTCTTTATGTTCAATTTCAGTTCGTCTTTGCTGAAATATAAAGCAATCAATGGAAATTGCACTAACACTATAAAGATTTAACTCTACTTTTAATTTATCTTGTCAGCTTTTAATTAAGAACTTGATAATTATAATTGTACCTCGAGTGCAATGACTGCACTCAGTGTTTCTGGCTCATCTTCTACATCGTCATTGACCTCATCGGCATCGTTGGCATCGTCAGCATCATCGGCGCTGTACTTTGGCCTTTTCGTCGTTTCATCACTATCGCTGTCAAAGTAACTCATATCGCATTTTTCTTGTTTGATATTTTTTTTCCGTAACCTGACTTTTTTTGGTGGTGGTTTTCTAGGGCCTAATATGTTGTTGGTGCAACAATATGACAAATGTCCCTCCTCTCCGCATTCATAGCACTGAGATTTATCAGGGTAATCTCTGCGACGTATGAACTCTGTGCTGCGACCATTGTCGACTGCTATCGAACTTTTCACAGTACGACCAAGTATCTAACATAATAAAGAGAACAAAGATGTTAACAACAAATATTCTTTATTGTTTAAATTTATCCGTGATTTAATTGATTCTTGTCTTTTTCTAAAGCCAGAATAAGGAAGAGACAAAAATTTAAACTGGCTTCAACATGATAAATTCTTTATTAGAAAAGCTTTATGTAAATTAATGAAAAAAATTTCTTAATGAATGTGCTAAACGTTAGAAAACGAGAGATAAAAATTAGAATTTACCTCTGTGTTATTAAGAGCGTTTGCACAAGATACAGCATCTTCAACTTTCAGAAATAATACAAAAGCGACGCCGCGGCTTCGTCGCTTTACTTTGTCTTTCAATACTGTTACTCTGGAAATACAGGACGTAACATTTACACAATGTGAAAAATTAATTACAAGATAATTTGTCGCAACTCACTTGACAATTTTTCCATAGCTTTCCAACAGCTGATGTATGTCATTGTTGGTTAAAGAGAACGGTAGATTTGACACATAGACTGTCGATTTACTTGGCGCAATATGATTGTTCATATTTTCTTATATTTTAAAGCAATGCATTAAAGTTTTTGTTTAATCGCTGATTATATTTTTTTTATTTTTCCACAGAAATAACTTTAATTCATCAGATGATGCTCTTTTGACGTATCATAAGATTTAGCATGTTTTAGGTTAAAGTTAGGTAAGGTTAGGATAGAATCAACAGAAATGTCGCGACATACATAAAATTCTATGCTATTCAATCAACTCTATGGGCGGTATTCATAGTCCGTTCTTATATTCAAGATCGTTTTAAGTACAAACTTATATTCGCTCTCTTTGTCAGACACAATCTATGTGTGACAAAGAGAGCGAATATAAGTCCGTGCTTAAGACGATTTTGAATATAAGAACGGACTATGAATACCGGCCTATATGTTTATTTATAATGCAAATATTTGCGCTTTTAATCTTAGATTTATTTTCATTACAATCTTTGCTTTCTTGTAAATTAGGATTTATTACTGTATTGTAAAAGTTTATAGACAGATTTGAAAGGAATATTTATTTTCTACGTGATTATATATACTATTTTCATTTTGAGGAATTGTATTAAACTACGAAATTGGTCGCCAAAATACTTTGGTATATGATGCGGACTTTTACGAAATAAATCTAGAGATCAATTAAGTGTAACATATATTTTTCTAAGCTACATGTATATAAACATTCTTGCATTTAAGAAAAAAAAAAAAAATATAATGGTTTCAAATTTTTAAGGTCTGTGATTCTTACACAGATCTGTTAGAAGTGTTTATCGCAATAAGTCTAGATTTGTATTACAATGACAACTCTAGATGTATTATAATTTAGCACACTGTAAAATATATACTTTGCTTTATACTAGGACAATTAACGTTAACGAAAGCTGGAACATATATTAACAAAATAACCCAAAAAATGCAAAGTATCAGTGCAATAATAGAGTTCACATATACGGTCTTATACAATATTTTCATTACAACGCATTTTATTCCCTGTCGCTAGTAAATATAATGATTTGATTAATTTTGTCGTCTTACTCATACGCTGTGCAGTGAAATCGCTGCTCTCATTACGTCACTGTTTGCTATTGACAAACATCACTAAAGTATAAGTTAAAGTATAAAAGGAATATTCATATATAGCGTGTAAAGCGTTCAATTAAAATGTAGCCGTGAAAGTTAATAACATATCATAAGCAAATGAAAGGTCCAATGTTACGATATTCATGATTCGGCGATTCCCGCACTATCTTCGTCCCATTCGGTAGCGAAGCTTCGTATCTTCTTGCGTCTTTTGTTAACTCCTACAGCCTCGTCCCCTTCGACATGCTCTTCCTCGATGATCATTACGGATTCCTGATTCGCGTCCATACTATTATTCTGTTCGCTGCACTGTTCCTCCTCATATTCTACTATCTCCGTTTCATATTGTATCACTTCCTCCACCTGATTACCACATTCCTCCAGTATCTCTTGAGATACCTCCTGCACTTCATCATCATCTTCTTCTTCCTCTTCCATAACCTCCTCGACTTCCTCGACTTCCTCGACTTCCTCGACTTCCTCGACTTCCTCAACTTCCTCGACTTCCTCCACAACTTCCTCAACTATTTCCTCAGTCTCTTGCGCAGCCTCGGCTGGTTGATAGGCCTCGTAGGATCGATCGGCCTCCTCGGCTCCATGAATGTATACAATCATTCCATCATCTGTCCCCTGCATAACTATTTGCTCATTATCAGCGATATCCAGCTGCTGTGGTTGCTGATGATGATCGCTTTCGGCGTGTTGGTAACTGTCGTCATTGTTGACCAACATAATCATATGCTGGCCCTCCAGTTCGTGCTCATTGTAACTGATATTATGCGTTATATCTTCCAGTTCCATTTCTGGCACAATATACTGATCGTTCGCTCCTTTCACTATTGTCACGGTTTCCTGCGTTTCCGCGCCTGCTTCCGTATCTCCGACGCCAAGAGAAGCGGCTATTCCGCTGGCAACGTGACTGAGAGCCTCCGCTTCAGATGACGGTTCCAATGGAATGGCCGGAGCGGCCGCTGCCGACTCATTTGTGTCTCTCTGCATGTCCTTGTGTGCGCAGTCCAGATGTATCTGCAAGTTTGTCAGACGAACAAATACTTTAATGCAGTACGGGCAGCGGTGGCCCTTCGTCTCTTTGCGACCGGTCATACTTCCGTGGCCGGTGTTCAATTCATGAGTGGTAAGGTCAGTGACATTCCTGAACGACTCGTTGCATTGGCCACAATGAATGTCCTCCGAAGGCAGATTGTGTCGAGTAGTAGGTCGATGATGATGATGATTGATCTGATGACGCACCAGCAAAGTCTCCGACAAAGCGACGTACGAGCAAGCTTGACACTTGGGAAAGTTCATGCTCTTAGGCGGCGGTACGTTGTGCTTAGTGTAAAGATGATACATCAGCATATTGCGCTTAGTTGCTTTGTATCCGCAGTGCTCGCACACCCTCGGATCAAACTTCTCCTCGTGCACATCCTGCATGTGTCTCCTGTACATATAGTAATTCGTATATTCCTCATCCAAGTCGCATTTGTTGCACTTCCAAGGGCCTGTTTCGCCATCGATATTGCCGTTGCACTTGGAATCATCGTCAGTGGATAGTAGATTATCGGATTTCAAAACCACGTAAGATACTTTTGTCCTGCCTGCGGCGTCGGATGATTTTGCTTCTTTCTGCATAATCTTCAAGCGAATATTCTTATTGTTCTTCACTAAATGAGGGTACTTTTTCAATACCTCTCTAATGATCTTTGCATGATTGTTGATGGAATCGTCGGTATTCGGTTGATCGTTTGACTTAGACTTCTCTACATTTTCCTTTTCCTCCAGATCAAAACGCACTCTCTTTGCGTTCTGTCCGTCTGGAGATTTCTGGAAATTCTTCGATATACTCCAATCGTCGTCCGAATTCGTGTCTCTCGGACTTTTATCATTATCCTGATTTTCTTCCTCCTCGTCTTCAGTGGTGTCATTTTTACTGTCTCTGTCCGGTGAACGTTTAAGAGAAGAATTTCCTTTCTTGTGTATGTCGGATGCTTGAACAATAGGCTTTGTATTATATGTAATATCGTCGAATGAAGAAAAAACTCCAAGAGCAATATCATCCGCTTCCGGCAGATCAAATCTGGATGGACCAGGAGTCGTTTCGTCAGGTTTATGTATCGAGGATGGACCGTGGATTGTGGATCGTACTTCGTAATTCATCGCTGGAGAGTCATCTAACTTTCTCTTCCAAATGGGAAGCCTTTAATAATAATGATGAATTATTGACATTTTATCATCATAGCATTGCATTTAAAACATTGCGCAATGAAATACATACTTTCTACCAGGCAATGGTTCAGGTAATGGCGAGCTGATGGAGGTGATGACTGGTTTTGCTGAAGGTTTCGAGATCGTCATTACCGGAGATGTTTTCACTGCGTCAACCTGTAAACTGCTCGTGTTGAATTGAGCGTCAAGCAATTTTGTTAGCACTGTCATATTCATCTTTTGTGCAGTACGGTACAAAGCATTCTGTTCTGATGTCCAGTATTCCAATTGTCCAGTATACATAAAGCTGCATATAAATACACAATTATATATAATGAGCAATCATTTTTTAGTGGTAAATATCAAAAGATATATAATATATACCTTATAATAGACTTAACGCATTCATAAGGCATGTCTGAAGGCATAGTAATGACACCGTTAAAGTTTTCATCTTTTTCTTTTTGCTGTTGTTCGAGTTGCATAAAATAGTCTGTACATGTTGTAACTACAAGTCGATGAGCCTAAAAGAAATTTTGGTTAGCACAATATCTATTGATAAATTTCAAACGTCATAATTCTTATACCTGTACTGTGATATCACTCGTAGGAAATTTAATTTTAAGATCAAAAAATAACTCCTCATAATAAAGCTGTTGAAGTCGTTGGAGAAAAAATGATCCCCAATTATCAACCTTTACTTGTTTTAACCCACGCAAAGGGAGTGACTTTTCCTGAATCACTCCTGATTCCATTATGAAGGAATTGACAAACTTATCAACACCTAAGATAAATCAATAAATATTGAATATAAATACACATATGTCATGTTTCTGTAAGATAAATAGAAAGCTATCCAAACTACCAGATTTGCAATATAGATTGTGGAAACAAATTTTAGAAAAAATATAAAAAGTTATTGTTTTATATGCTATTATTTTATAAACTGAATAAATCTAATTTAGATAATTAAATTATTTTAGTTGTTCCAAATATAAGGTATAATTATAGATATATATTACCGATATAATATAGGAAGACAATGATATAGAATCGTGTGATGTTAAATATAATGGCACAATAGTAGGAAAAATAAGAGTAATAATCTTAGCTTGTTTTGACAAATGAAAACATATCACTATCAAATTTTCATGCTTCTAATTTATCGGTTGTTTGTTTCTGTAATGCATTTTCCAGAATATTATTTTAAATGCAGCACTAAACTTATTCAAGTCTCAAAGATCACAAAACGGTTTAAAAAATTTTATCAACACGATGTACAGCGCGCCAATCCACCCTCGTCCATTCCGTCAAGGCCAGTAAGAGCCACATGCACAATTCGTATTTCTACATATATATTTCGTAATATACATCATAGAGTATATAGCATTTCATACCAGAGTTATAAAAAAAGCGTATCTCTACTGCATCTTTTGTCTCTCACGTAAAGAACGAGCAGAAACGTGAGAATTCGGCTACCGAGTGATCGGAAAGATTGGAAGTGCCGCAGAAACGAGCCGAATTAATCCCGGGAACGACATTAATCGTACATTTTCTGGCGGCATGGAGACAGACGCTGGTCGCATACGCGTCTTCCGCCAGTCGCTCGTAGTGCATACCGCGGTTTCGTGACCGGCCCGCCTCGAGTGTGTGTACACGCGAATCGAAAATACTATTGCGCTTATAATTCACGTACCTATTCAGCAGGGATCTCAATAATTTCCGTTCAGCACCATCTCTTACGAATTTTCTCAGTATACAATCAACAGCAAGCATCCCATTATGTGCCGTGACTCATAGATGGAGCTATTCGCGTTCAAGTTTGACAAATATAAAGACGCGAACGCATGAAAGCGACGGGCGTTTATTATGTGCATTTCATAGCGCTGTGCATACGGTGTGTACGTGAGAGCATCTTACTTTGACGATTGTTGAGAAAAACACCATCATATTATTTATTAATATTCGCATATCATTTTTGCAGAATTGTTTACGTCTTTTGATGTGAAATTGTCAGGTAAAATATGTTTTTGCTTGATTTGTCATTTAGTAGTGTTTTCGTGTCTGATAGCAGTGAACATCTTGGAATTAGTTTATCATACTCTCTGATATCTGTCCTTGCAGGGCTGCCTATTATTAGCATCAAACTGCTAACGTAACGACTGGTATTCATAACAATTCACAATCAGCTGTTTGGAACGAGTGAAACATTACAGATAGCGAATAAATGTTTTCAGAGTGCTTCCATGTACTGATAGTTGAGTGATGTTCTAGTCCGAATAACCTAACCTAACCCAGAAAAACTAACGCAAATGGCAACAACAACGGGTAAAAGAGTGCAGGATCTTCCACCAAGAGGAGGCTATGCTTCTATCCAAACAGAAAGGGTTAAACTACGTAGCATTCTTGGCGGTAAAATGACAAATTTACCATTAATTAGTTTGTTGAAAAAGTTAAAAAAAAGTGAGTTAACACTATTACGTAATGATGTTTTTATAAAACTTTATAGCAAGGAGTACAATTGGACTTTTCTTAACCGTTACACTTAGCGGTGCCTATTGCTATTATCTGAATTTTAAACTGATCAGACGACAACAAATCGAGATGAGAAGTTCACGTTTGGCTATATGGCCAGCATTGCTAGCGGAACGTGACAGAGCGTAAGAATTTCATATGTACTTTTAGTCTAATATATTTTAATTAACGAAACAAAGTACGTAATTAATAGAGTATTAAATTTTGTAAAATTTATCTCTTTTTGCAGTGTCTTGAAGCAAATGAGGCGTAATCGAGATGAGGAAGCTGAGTTAATGAAAAATGTTGATAGATGGGAAGTTGGAACATACTATGGAGAACCAATATTTTTCCTGGATGACGAAAATCAATATAGGGATCCTTTATTCATGGAACATTTTGCTCACTCTGATCCAGATTTCCTAATGTCACGTAGTACGCGTCATCTATGGACATAAGAGTATCACCAGCATTTGAGATTCACGATTCTGGTCAGTTGTGGCTTATTGTGGAGCACAGCTAGTGCAGGTAGTCTAAATAATAATGAGAAGTATAAAGATTGTAAATTATAAATTATCATAAATAACATTTTGAATCCACAGATCAGAATAAAAGCATTATATTACAATCCCATCTATCAATATTCCTTTAGGAATCTTTTAAGTTATCTAAAAAAAAAAAAGTTTGAGAAAGAGTGACGTGTCATTTGATGTGTTCTTTTTTTTTAAGCATGCCGAAAATTAAATGGAATATTTACACATGGTGCAGTTATCGCCACTTTGATTTCAGAAAAAGCTTTTTTAGAAGGTTAAATGTCAATGATGTAAGAATAACTGGTTGACAAGATATACTTTTACTAAGGTGGTAACAAATGGGAAGAATGAATTCGATTGGCTGCGCCATGTTGTCGACACAGCTTGTCATTCTGAAATGATGTGTGAAACTGGCATCGTGATCTCGAGCCTCCTTTCTATAAGAAATGTATATCCAAAGCTCATATCCAACTATTCTATTCTTAAAACTTTTGGATGCTTCCGGAGAGATAGCCTTTTTTTATTTGACACAGGTCAGACTGCCTGCTGTGTTTTTAAGAAAAGGATGGAAAAAGGAATCTCTCATTATCTCACTCTATGTAAGAAAAAGGAACTGACTGACAAAAGATTTACAATGTCATGATATTCCTTTTCTGTTCTTGAAGAAAAGAATTGGGATAAGATCTTGTACTCTACTTTCTACTTTCTGACGATTTTAGAAGTAAGTTTTTTGAAACGTTTGTGGTATATATATTTCTTTTATAATATAAATCATTCGTTTTATACAATAAATTTTGCCGACTTCAAGAAAATTTGACTCTTGATATTTTTATATCTCAAGATATCTCTATAGACATTGTCTATCTATTATCAATTTGACAAATATAAATTATCTAACGTCAACATTGAAAAGTTATGACGAATAACAGCTTTCCTTGGTATTTCCGAGAAAAAAATTGCTTCCAACTTTGTTGAAAAAAATGGTCCTTAGAATTTCTCTTAAAAACTATTACACAAGTTAAAATTTGAATGACGTTTTTATCAATAAAGCAAGATGCATTTTTATAAAAATGTATACAATCTAAACAAATATATTTGCTCACAACTCTTTCAGATTGCAATTCGAATCTATGAAAACGCAACTTGTAGACAATTGTCTCGAAATGCGATAAAAAGAACGCATTAATTCACGCTAAACTGATCGTCCGTGAAGGAGAGGGGAAAGGGGTATTGAAGTTCTCACGACTAGCATTCCTATCTAGAGCGTGGCCAATGATTCATTCGCGCGAACGGTAATCGCCAATTGATGCCGCGCTATCGGAGCACGTGGATGTACGTCGCGTATACACGCGCGTGTGCGCGCGGACCGCGTGAGCGAAAAATGTCACGCGCGTTGGCATCGGTTTTTCCGTGAACCGGGTAGACTCAGGTAGTGGAATCTTTGAAAATGCGCTTAGGCGCCCAGTCGTGCCTACCGCTTACTCTCAAACGGTCGGCCGCGCATTACTGACATCCCGCCGGCAGCGAAACAAGTGTCTGTGTACAAAATGGCGACGTCCGGAGCATCCACTGTCGCAGAGATCGCCAGGAAGCGGCAGCAAGCGGCAACGGTGCTGCGACGGTGAGTGTGAAGTGCTGCAAAGCGAGTGGGACGTGCGGCAACGTACGCGCGAGGCGTGCGACAACGACGACCCGACTCGACTCGACCGACCGCCAACCGGTGCGGTACGGTGCGGCGCGGCAGAGTGCGGTGCGGTGTGGCGCGGCGCGGTGCGGTGCGGTGTGGTGCAGTGTGGTGCGCTGCCTAGCCCCGGGTAGAGCGGTATCACAGCGGCAGCGTCGTCTCGAAAGATGTGGTTAGAGGAGCGCAGGAGGCGATAGCAGCTCGACGCATAGGCCTCGGCCGATTGGTGGCCGATGAGGGCAGGTAGTTGTGCAGAGACAGAGAAGGGCTGGCACGTAGGCAGGTAAACGAAGACGCAATACGAAGTGTGGGCCTTAGCGGCGGAACAGCTTGGCAACGGTCGGCGGAGGGCCAATCTGTCCCGGGCAGTGCGGTACGATTGGCAGTGCTACACGTCGTCGTCCATCATAGTTCCCGTCCGTCCGGCCACGCTGGGTGTGTGAGGATAGCGCAGCGACAACATCGTCGCGCATCGCTTTCCACAGTCTTGCCGTCGACACCGACGGTGACGCTGGTGCGGAAGCGAGGAGAGAGAGCGTGCGAGGGACGCGAGGCTTTCTCGAGAGAGCGGCAGCGACATTACGATGGCGACGATATCGACAACGACGACGACGACGACGACGACGACGACGACGACGACGACGACGACGACATCATCATCGACGACATCGACATCGACGCCGACATCGACGTCGGCGTTAGGAGCGACAATGAAGAGCGCAATGGCGATGACGGAGCATAGGAAGTCTTACAACCAGCTCTGCCGTTTGTGCGCCTCCTTCGACGCCGTAAGGATGGACATATTCGGCGAGGAAGGCAAGAATCGGCAACTCGTTCAGAAGATACAGGCGTGCCTGCCGTTCAAGGTGAGTTATTTATTTTTCTCTCTTTGTCCACGCTCCTCGCGATGCCGTTGTTATCCTCGTGGAACTCGCTTTCGCTCTACTTTTCTCTCCTTTTTTCTTTTCTCTCTTTGTTCCTCAGTGTCCCTTATTTTCTTTCTCTCTCTCTTTCGCCCTCTTTCTCTCTCTCTCCCTCTCTCGATTTCGTTTACGTCTCTGAGTCACCTCCTTCGGCACTTTGTGGCCCTGCACGACTCGTCCTCGATCTCATTCCTCCGAGACGCGAGAGAGACGGAAAGAGAGTGAGAGAGAGATTCACGGACGACTCGTTCGGCGTCGACGGGGCGTTACTGGGTGAAGGTTTTCTTCCCACCGCCGACGCGTCATCGCCGTCGGCCATCGCGCTCTCGCTCGCACGCTCGTCCATCGAGCGGCGTCCTCGGTGACGAATTCCATACCCGGTGACCGTCGCTTATCGAGGACGACGCGACGGCGGCGAGGTCGGCACGACGCGTGGAGGGACGCCCCGTCGCGCGATGCGCCGGCGACATTTTGTTTGCCGCCACGGCACATTTACCGCTCCTCCACCGAGACTCAGCTGCCGTTGTACGTTATCGTCGCCGTCGTCGTCAGGTCAATCCATCTCGACGCTAATGCGTAGTGCGACGCGACAACGGTTGCGCGCCGGACTGCGTTCTGGCCGCACTTCGACCTTATGCATTTTGATATTTTAAAGGTCACGTGCACCGTGCCGCCGGAATTATCATCGTTTTATTAATCCCATGTCCAACGGGGTCTATTATATACGCTACAGGCTTTAATAGTCCGAGTAAACACGTGAAGCTTAATTCTTCTCAAGTCGAAAGTGGGAGTCGACGCTTTGTTAGAAACACGTGGTCTTCTCGGTATCATTTCTATTATTCCTGCCAAGTCTTTTAAATAAATATATATTTAACGCACGGATAAAAACAACTATATACCGTTATTAAAAACCGAGAGATTGATATCTCGAATTTTTAATAATCCTGCACAATTAGTTTGCAAAAACTCCAATTCTCTTGTTAACATTATTATACTTAACTTATTGCATGTAGCTTATTCGAGACCTTTATTTTCTAATAAAAATATCCCAAAGCACCTCATACTATATAATAAAGTTATTATTAAAGAGTAAATAGAGAGTACAATTTTGCTTGAATAATTAAGGATTAAAGCGCGCTGTATTTTTATCGAGAATTTTTCGCAGATTTCTTAAGAGTTTGCTCATCGCGTCTTAAAGTTGTAAATCACATCTGAGAGTTTCATCTATTCAAATTGATTATTACGAGATACTCGCATAACGATGTACGACGTGCATTTTAATAATGTGTTAGCGCGGACGTTTATTGTGAAGAATTTTCTAGCTTTTAATGATGTGAGGGATAATTAAAATAACGGTATACTTACATCTACGAATGGTAGATTAATTTGGATAATTTCAATTGAGACGGTTTTACTTTAACATATAATAACCAGATACGATAAAATAAAAATAATACATCCAATAATTATGTCATGAAGGAGGGTTTATATATCTGACATAAGATTATTCTTAGCGGTGCTTGTTTTGTAAATTTTTTTTTTTTTTTTTTTGTAAGATTCTGTAAATTAAATTTATCTTCTATTACTCAATGATATAAAAACATTTTAAAATATTTTTGAAAATAAATTTATATTTAAAATATATGTATATTTATATAACATCGATATTGGCTCTTTAAATATCAGACATTATAGATAATAAATGATTGCAATAGATTGTTTTATTATGTTCGATACTGCTAGCAATGAATTTAATTTGATTAATTTTAATGGAGTGTTTAGAAACACATGTGATGAGAGCCAAAGAAATTAAACTTATTATGCCATCAGTTACTGTATTAATGTAAAAGCTTCATGAAAATGTCGGAATTGTTGTGTTTCAGATAGAGGAAGATGATTCTCTGCCGAATGTCGTGTGTTATCGATGCATGTTTAATTTGGAAAATTTTTATGACTTTAGAACTGCGTGCATTCACGCAGCTGCTTGGCTGCAAAAGAATAAGCCAAAAACAGAAGGCGTAAGTGTCTCAATTTATTATTAAAATAATTAAATATTTAAGTAATCTAATTATCATATTTTTGCTCTTGATTGACAAAAATTATTGAATAAATTATAGTTCAGCTATCAAACTTTATTCACTAGATTTGTATTCTGAAATTTGCACCAGCTGGAAAATTACAAGGAAAACGGTTATTTTTTTTTTAACATTCCGATTACAAGTAAATTATGATAAAAAGAAAATATGGAAGATGATTTTAAACTGCATTACATTACAAAAGGTATCGTCATATTATGTGTATATCATAGGCGAGCGATGACGGTGCAAATGATAGCGCGCAATGCGGCAAGGTGCACGCGGAGCTTCTCAAGGAGAAGGAAAACATGCCAATACTTATCCCAGAGGCGCCAGTGGTCAATCCCAATGCGGCATTAGGTACACCGCCGAGATTAAATTCCGACGGCGAAGCGGATCCCGAGATAGAGGAGATTCTCGATACAAGTGAAGGTACGGACGAAGGTATGCTTGTATATTTTTCACTACTTCTACCATTCTTCCTTCGTTTTATCCGAGACAAGTTATCGCTTATCTGTCGTTATTTTTTTCTTATTAAGCAACAGTAGTGGACGATTCGGAAGACCGCCGATCGGAATATGAATACGAAATGGACATGGAGACGAATCCCAGCGACTTTTTGGAAATGACACCGATGGTAACCGAAGACAACGAGGAAGAGTGCGGCACGAGCAATCCGAGTGCCGCGACCACTCAGGACGCCGCCGCCGTCTTTCCGCATATATCACAGCAACACGAAGTCTACGTCTGCTCTTTGTGCAACAAGGCGTTTAGCTCCAAGGGTCACTTGTCTTTGCATGCGAGGATTCACGTGGGTGAGGGTGACGTGATCGGCGAAAGAGTAATCACCGACGATCACACTTCGTATCAGCGGCCGTATCAATGCGATCTTTGTCATAAATCGTATTCTACTGCGAAGCATCGTTGGGGACACGTTTCCACAACTCATCGGTGAGTAAGCTTCAGCAATCTGCAGCATATAATTTTATACGTATAAATTAGCACAAATCTGCCGTGAGCAATGTAATGTATTGACTGTTAAAATTTTTAGTAGACCGAAAAATCTAATTACATTATGTTTTTAAGAATTTCACAAGATTTTCTATGGATAATGGATGATCCAGATAATTAATTTTTTTGATGCAAAATGAATATACTATTATATTTTTGTTTAACAATTCAATTTGAATGGAGATTTTTCATGTATTTGATTGGCACTTTTTATCTCAGGGGACATCCTGCTGTGACTTGTGCGTATTGCTCGCGCATTTACTCAACACGATACAATCTCGACGAGCACATAAAGTCACGACACGCTGGTCTACCACCGCCGCCAGAGTTATCGGTTTCCTTTTCTCGCACAGAGACTCGTTATCAGTGCCAAATAGCACAGTGTTCAATGGTTTTTACGGATTTAGCAGATTTTAACGCGCACCGTCAGATATGCGTCGAGGAGCAACGCACTGATTTGTTGGGACAAGTTGAAGCACAGAGCAACAAGAATTTGGTCGATACGTCTGATGTTACGAGTTTAGACTCGGACGACGATAATAAAGACTTTAGGAGTGCCGAAGCTAAACTGGCGAAAAATCCACAGTTGACTATATTGAAACAAGCACTGACTAAAGGAGACAGTTTGAAGCGCAATTATGATGATGATGGTTCAATAACCAGTTCTAAGCCGAGGAAAATAGTTAAAACAGGTAAAATTTTATCATTAAAATTATAATTGTTCTCGTATATAGAATTAGAATTAATTTTGAATGTGTTTTTCAGAAGGTAGCGAAACAAATTCCCAGAAGAGATGGTATTGCGATTTTTGTTCGCAAAATTTCACGTCAGTCGACAGTTTGAAAGAGCACGAGGTTATACACGAAGCCGAGAAACCGTATATATGTTTGCTGTGCAAAAGAGATTTTATGTTGAAGACTTCCTTGAGCAAGCACATTTTAACGTTACACGGCGTCGATCCTGCTCCTTTCGTTGAAAGCGACAAGTGTCTAAAGACGGCCATAATGTCGCAGAGTTGGAACGACCAGATAGATGTTAGTGTTTATGACCAAAGCGAAATGAAGGAATCACCGGAATTCCCACCGTCACCCGAGGTAAGGATACGAGAAATTTTAGTCCGCGCTTTTTATTAATATCGGAGAGACATATGTTGATGTACTACTGCGTACAATATCACGTTCGACAGATAAATGTGCAGAACAACATTGTCTATGACGACAAAGACTTGAAGAACAACGATGACAATGTAGAAATCGAAACAGTATTTATATGCGAGGTTTGCTCGAGGGACTTTAGTGATCGAGCGTCGTTATGGTTGCACATACGAGCAACACACAAGGATCTTGCTGCATTTGCTTGCGGTGTGTGTTTAAAGATTTGTTCTGATAACGCACAACTGCAGAATCATGTCAATATGTACCATGGGGTATCTCAGCGTTCAATATCGGAGCAAAGGAGGTACGCTAGCATTTTACGTTGTCTACTTTCTTTTTGTATTCTATTTTCAGTTTTCCAACTTTTATCGTTTCAAATAACATTTCTCATTTTTTTTTTCATATATCCCATTATTTCAATTAAACTAATTAATTTTACCCGAAACATTCAGGTATAAATATGTGGAATATAGTTGTAAAATTTATTTCTAACTGCTAATGTAGGTACAGTTGCACGATATGCGGTAGACAGCATGACTCGAGAAAGAAGCTAATCGCCCACGTCTCTATACACAATATCGATCCTGGATATGATCCTGCAACTTTTGTACAATTAAATAGTAATTACTACAATGAGAATTAAATGGTAATCGAAGGAAACGAACAATATTACAAGATATGGATGGAGAAGAAGACGAGAAAGTCGATTGCTGCATTTGTTACAAATCGTTTCCAAATGAGGATCATCTTATACGGCATCAGAGAAATGCTCACAAGGTTTGTAAGATCTGCCGTACCTTTCAATAAAAGTTTTTGTGGCAAGTTTGACGTAAAACGATATCGTAAGTGGTGCGAGATACGAAAAAGTTTTGTGTGTTGCAGTCTGAACAAATAGTTTCGATAGGGGACGCTGCTGGGAGCGGAAATGCGTTAAGTGTTAACGGCAACAGCAATAGGACGCAAATGCATTTATTTTTCATGTGCGAAGTATGTGGCACTTCTCATTCCAGTAAATGGGAACGCTGGTTGCATATCAACAATATGCATAGTAACGAACCTTCGATTAAGGTAAGTTGAAGAAACGGAAAAAAGATAATTTTTTTCCGTCGCACGCGTTATTCTAATTTCCGATTGTGTCGTCATTTCAGTGCGAATGGGAGAACTGCGGGAAGATATTCGCGACGAAAACGTTGCGCAACGACCACATACAGCATCATCTGGTGCAAGGCCCGTCGCCGAATACCTGCGAAATATGCGGGAAACTGTGGGCCACCCGTGTCGATTACTGGAAACACGTGATGGGCGTGCACGCGGACACGGTACCTCTGATTTGCGGTGTTTGCTTGAAAGTATTCTCCGACGTGATACAGTTAAGTACGCACGTGAGAACGAAACACTGGCCCCTGACCAATGGTGACTTTAGCTGTGATATTTGCGGTCGGCCGTATTCTAACAAGTCGAAGATGTCGCGGCACAGGAAGATCCACGGTTTGGAGGCGGCGGTAGGGGCGGACACTGCCTGTGATAATAGCAGCCTCAACGAGACGACCAACGAATCGGTCAGACCGGATCACAACGGCGCCGTGGAAATCGAATTGAACTGCGAGCTCTGTCCCGATCTGGCGTTTTCCAATCTGGAGAGTTTATGCAATCACCGACGGACGATACACCGTCTCTTCCCATGCGATCTGTGCATCAAGTGTTACGGCAGAACGTCGCATTTGTGGAAACATGTGAACAGAGTGCACAAGGGTCACGCGGACGTGACTTGCCCGTACTGCTCGAAGACAAGCGCGTCGCGGGAACATCTGGCAGCGCATATCGCGAAGATTCACAAGCCCGATAAAGACAGTCAGAACTTCGTCACTTCGAAATCTTTAAGCATGGAGGACGGCGTCATGCATTACTGCGAGAAGTGTCATAAGGGATTCCACAAGCGTTACCTGCTTCGCCGTCACATGAAAGGCTGCCAAAACTACCGCAAAGATCCCAGCGCGCTGTTGACGCGCTGCCGCGCCTGCGAGAGAATATTCAAGGACCGTGCGAGTCTGCAGAAGCACATCGAAAATCACCACAGCACGTACACGTGTCATTTGTGCAACGAAACAATCACCTCGAAACTGGGCATCATGACGCACAACCGCGTCAAGCACATGGATCATCCGGACTTGACGTGCGAGCACCCGAACTGTAAGAAACTCTTCCGCACGAAGGAGGATCTGGAATCCCATCGAAAGGACCACAAGTATCACACCAATCCGGACGTGTGTGACTATTGCGGCGACACCGTGGAAAACAAGCTGAAACTGAAGATGCACGTTCTGTCGCTGCATCGAAACGAGATTGGCGTATCTTGTGGCGTCTGCCTCATTCCCATGAAGGATCCCAAGGAACTGAAGAAGCACGTCGAAACGGAGCACAGCAGCGTACTTTCCAATCCGAACACGTGTCAGGTGTGCGGCAAGCAATATGCGTCCAAGTGGAAGGCGTTTGACCACACGAAGAAGTGCCACGGAAAAGTTTTTCTCACGTGCAAACAGTGTCTCGCGGTCTTCACGGAGGAGAGCGAGATACGCGACCACTACGAGCATATGCACAATGTTCCGAAGGACCAATTAGCCGTTTTCGAATATAGGATGGATATAAGTGTGAAGAGAGAAGGTTACGACACACCCGACATCATCGTGAAGGAGGAACCGGACGATTTGGAGTACGACGAGGAGATGGGCGACGACAGCTTGAGCGATTCTCGCAAACGCAAACGGTCGCCGAATGACACGTACGATTGCGAGATGTGTCCCGAGATCTTCCTCAATCTCGAGACCCTCGCCAAGCATTATCAGAACGTGCACAACACCGATCCCGTTCGTATGTTCAAGAAATTCAGAAAGGACGGCGACGGCAAGCGCAAGATGAGGAACAGAAACAACTTCGAGTGCAAGAATTGCAAGAAGCATTTCACCACCAAGACTCTCTACTGGAATCACACCAGCGTGTGCACGCGGCGAAACTCGGTCGGCAGATACGACATTCCGAACAACATCCCGACGTCGATTCTGGAGTCTCATCTGAAGAACAATAATCAGATTCAGCGAGAGGAACCGATGCCGCTGGCGAACGAGTCCAACTTGAACATTCCCGATTTCAATCTATTCGAGGACATCAATTTGCAACTTTCGGCGCAGAAACCCGTGCCGAATCTCATGCCGTTGTCGCAGATGAAGCCGAGCAACGGCAAGTGTTCGAGAAAGGACTCGCGCAAGGTGTACGACGAGTCGACCAACACCGAGTGCACGTGCGAGGTTTGCGGCAAACAGTGGCCTGCTAAGAAACATCTGTGGCAGCACTTGATTCGCTTCCATCGCGCAGAAGCCGCCGTCACATGCGGCGTATGTTTGAAGCTGTGCAAATCCTACGAAGATTTGGCTGATCACCTGAAGGCCGAGCACGCCCCCGTTTTGTCGCCAGAAGGTAACAACTTCACCTGTAAGACGTGCGGCAGGTATCACAACGCGAGAAGTAAATTGCTGCTTCACATGAGCATCCACATCGGGAATTTCCGGTGTCAGAGATGCGAGCAAGGTTTCGCCAGCGAAGAGAAGCTTATCGAGCACGCGGCGATCTGCAGCTGCAAATCGGAGTTCGTGGATCACGCCGCTGCGGACGAGGATAACGTGAAAAACGAGAACGACGAAAAGGGCAGCCTGATCGCCGACGAGACGTCGGTCATCGGCGAGGCGGAGGAAGCGGACTTCGAATCGGAAGGTGAAGCGAGCAGGAGCATCCACGAAGAAGACAGCAATAGTGAGGAGGACAACTCGGAAAATAGCGATGACTCTGACAGTAATAGTAATAGCAATAGTAATAGCAGCTCGAGCGAGGACGAGGACGAAGAAGAAGGAGAGGAGGAAAACGGGAACGAGTCTGGCACGAGGACCAGCAGTAGAGCGAGCAATAATACTGTGTCGTGTAATTCCGAAAGTGACAGCGAATCGGACACGGACGAAGCGGAGGTGCATGCGATTAAAGAAGAAGTGCCGCAAATGAGTAGCATCAATAGGTTCAGAATACACGGCGAAGACGTTCAAGAGAATTCGCCGATGGAAGAAAACGTTGAGGACGATGTGGAAACCGTAGTGACGGGTGCAGAACAAGCTAAACAAAGTAACTTGAATAATCTATTGATTTCCGGCACTTCCGCAAACGCTAACAAATTTGAGGCAGCGCATCACGAAGAATCGATTAAAATGGAGGTGAGCGTGGACTTATCTGAGGACAGCAACAATGAAGAAGAAGAGAATGATGAAAATGAGGAAGAGGAGGAGGAAGAGGAAGAGGAAGAGGAAGCGGAAGCGGAAGCAGAAGCAGAAGCAGAAGCAGAAGTAGAAGTAGAAGAAGCAGAAGAAGAAGAGGAAGAAGAAGAAGAACAGAACGAGATCAAGATTGAAAGTGAGGAAGAAGGTGAGAGCGAGGGTGAGGGCGAGGGTGAAGGCGAAGTCGATAGCGACGCCGAGGACGAAGGCGAAGCAGAGGAAGAGGAAGAGGAAGAAGATGGTGAGGAGGATGACGAAGGACCGCCCGTCTTGAGCCCAATAATGCCCTTGTTAGCGGAAAACGAATCTGAAGAGCACAACAGCACAAGGCACAAGCTAAGTCCGATGGTTCCGCTGAGTATCGACAAAATAGAGAAGTGCGAGATGATAGAGATACCAAACGACGCCGAGAATGCGGACGCTCCGTCGAACGCGTCCAACTTCTTCGCGACTAACAACAACGACTTACCTGTGACGTGGGAGGACGACTTGGAAGGGGATGACAATGCCAATGCCGACGACATGAACGTGAAAATCGACGAATTCAAGAAGGAGTACAAAGTGAACGAGGGCGATGAGTTCGAGGAGGATTCTACGAATGAGAATGTAGTGGACGACGGTGGAGACAATCAAGTGCACGAGATACATAATCTGGACGGGACTGTGTTGATGGTGGCTAATGATGCGGACGGTAATCAGATCTTGATAGAACAAAACATGCTAGACATCGATAACGAAGACTCTAACGCCGAGACGACGCAGTATATTTACCCGGAGAACGCTTACGAGATCGAGAATGAGGAAGAGGAGGAGGAAGAGGAGGAGGAAGATTATGCGACGCAAAATGAAACCGACACTATGCAGATGGACGAGATGCAAGATGGTGTGTCTTACGTTCAAGAGATGTCCGAGAACGACGACAGTATGGAGGGTGAAATCGAAGAGAACAGTAGTGATGCACAGAAGTAGTAGGACACGAGTGCCAAAACGGGAGAGGTAACTAGGATTACAAACTTGTAACAAAGTGTAAAATAATTCACACACACACACACACACACGACTCTAAGATAATTAAGATTCTAACCAAAAAAAAAAACATACATATGTACCTTGAAAGATATTGTACAGTAGGGTAAGTGAAGAGTACTTGTAGCGTCGAAGGATTTTTGATAGAGTATGCGTAAAGAAGATTATACGACGAGATTTCATTTTCATCGATCTGCCAGGGGCGTTGCGCTCACAACTTACGCAACGTTGCAAAGCTTCCGAAATGCCACTGATCGTTTTAAAGAATGACACGGTTTTGCGTTATTGAACACTGTAGATAATATGTTTAAGTACTGTTATGGAAGTTATGATTTATAAATTTTTTTTTTTTTTTTTTTTTTTTTCCACGTTTTCGATCTGAAGAGTATCAAAGATAGAAATTGATTATAGAGTATTGTTCATTTACATGAGTAGTAATTTTTTGACAATAATACATACTGCATGTCCGCGCCGTTCTACGTGAGATGCCATCCGCTAGACAATATGACGCAAGTTCATGAATTTAACGATGATAGCGGCTACGCCGCGTTTAAGGAATGATAATGCGCCAGAGTTAAAAGTCAGCAGAGTGTGTCAAAGTCTTTCTTCTTTTTCTTCTCAAATCGTGTAGAAATTCTTTTTTTAAACTGGCTAAGTATTTAAAATCGTGTAGGAAGCAGAAAACCATGACAGAGAAAACATCGCAAAGTTGCGTCGAAAGAACATTAAACGAAACGCGTAAATTTGAATGCCATTATTTATACGCAATCACGCGCTTGACCAATTTCTCGTAAAACTTCAACTTTCTCTGTTTCCTTATGCAGATTGTCTTCTAGTTAATGATGACACAATTATACTGAAACACTTGATTGACTATCATGCATTATGCGTATAAAAAAAATCGAATTTATTACAACGGAAGCAACAAGTACCATCCACATTTTATGTCAAGACAGATTTAGCGTCCTATTCTTTTTCTTAGCGTAAAGAAGCGAAAATCGCGCAGTCTCTTGCTATATTTTTATGGAAGTAAAAAGAAAAGAAGAGTTAATGTAAATAATAGCTTTAAAGAATTAATCTGTACAGTTACGTAATGCGAGCGTGTTTGTACGTATGCATGACAGAGCTTGTATGAATGTACAACAAACGATACAGATGTGACTGAATACTTATATATTAAAGAAAGAAAGCATACCTCGATCATACTTTAACAATTAGTTGAGATTAGAGCGGTAACAATTGCTTTCCATCGCTCACGACGTCATGAACTGCTTCGTTTTTTAAACTTCACACTCGCATCAAATGCAGAAATGTTCACGCGTATATAACTGTTGATTAGAAGTTTTAAAAATATTCAAATAATTCGTTAATTTGTTCAAGATTCTAAATTTAAAATGTGTTATATCGTGAAAATTAATCCAAAGTGTCTTAAACCAAGAAGCATAAGGCATTCGTGACGCCGTGTGTTAATTCAACCGTATTTGTCGGGTTTGTCAATTGTTCAGTTTGAGAGGCGAATAATATCAAGAGAGAAACAACATAGAATCGTTGTATTTGGATTGAGAGATTTGATTTCACAGATTTGCGTAAGAGTTGGAAACCATATTAGAGATGACAAAATGCAGACGGCTGGTATTATTTACCATTCGTCAATTTCTAATAACATGTGTCAGCGATCTCTTTTTTTCCTTTTTATTTATTATATTCATTCCAAAGTAATTTCTAAGGTATATTAGACTTTATGAATGATAACACTGATTTGCCATATGTATTATGCGATTATATATAAACGATCTACTTTGATCTTGCAGAGAGGAGTTGAAATTTAAATTTAAATTAATTTTAAGATATGGTTTTTCGTAACGTTCTATCGTGTTCGTATATCGTTTTTTTTTATTTACGAGTTTAGTGCTACTAAATGCGACCACTGTTGCATTTTAAATTTATAAAATAATTCTAAGAAATGTCATTAAAAAAGCATTTATATTATTATATTGCATAATTCAATTAAATATTGCGTGTTCATTTAAAATGAATCATACATGAAAGCTCGTATCCGCGCTTACATAAGTTCACCTAAAAATTATTCTCTGAGCGGACTTTACAGTGTAACAAAAAAATTAATCAAAAAGAGTCATTTACATGTGAGTTTAATTATCTGAAATTGTTTAAAATATCTCCTCATTCTGCAATAAGTGGATCGCGAATTATATCTATTGTCTAATACAGATATGTGCGAGGACGTTATATATAATTTATCATAAATTATCATTATATTTGTTCACAACTCAGATTACAATAATTATTCTCCATGTGTTTTTGCAGAATGAATTACTTTTTTTACCCTGCCCGATTTTACACTTCTACAATATAAGGATCGTCCAAACTATTATATAATTTTAACAATATCCAAAATTATATACAGCTACAATTTTCATACATTGCTAGATTAATTCTTATCGAATGATGATGATATTACATTTTTGGAAATCTAAAACTATTCCTGAGACTTCTGCTGAAATAAAATTTGCCCTCGAAACTTATAAGACTATTTTTATTTATTATTTACAAACGCTTGTACGAAGAATTGTTCAACAGGTACGTAAAAAAATATAATTAATACGAATATTTTGTTCAATTAATATAATTATCACTTATAAGTTAGTTAATATAAATCTCTTGAATTATTTATTATGTATTCTGCATAAAGTACATTGCAAAAATAGATACAAATGTTAGGAAATATGTATAGTTAATTGCAATATGTTAAAATTGAAGTTCTTTATTTACGAGATTTTTTTATTTTAAATTTCTCACGATTGTACGGTTTTTATATGAATTTTTTTCAGAAAATTTGAGATTTCTTCTTTATTCCAGCAGGATGTCAATTGTGTTAAAACATTTGTTAAATTTGTTAAAATATGTTATATTGAGAAAAGTAATAGCGATAAACATTCTGTACTGAAAGAAAAATTTTATTTATTTCGTCGTACATTGTGCAAGAAGAAATTACGTTTGATTTTCTTGCCTCTGATGTCATAATTTAATATAGTTGCAGCGACCGGTCTACTGCCCTAAGGGTCGGAAACGCGTGCCGAACTCAGCCATCTTCCAGCTGCGATGTCAAAAGCGAGGAAATTACGAGGAAATACACGCGAATGAATCTCTTGAAGTTTACATCTATATAAATAACTTTTTGCCAACGAAACTGCTCCAGTTTGATAAAGCAGATTTATCAAGTGCACCAATAACATTTCATTTCCGCTTTGACATCGGAGATGTCCGTGATCAAGAATTTCTTATTTACAGAGAACGCAATATCGATGATTGGATTGTTTTATCTTTATTTTTATAAAGGTATATGTCTTCGTGGAGGTAATATTAATCAAGAAAATAATCAGTTAAATTAAGACTGCTTTATTGAAGTTAGCTTCATTTTATTTGTGTGTATTCTCTTTCGCAAAATATATTAAATCTTTAAACATTTTCTTGAAACTTGTTCCGCTCGCGGAGACATTGATTTCTTGCGACCATTAAAATTACACACTGTATATACATAATATTCACATTTTATCTTATAGAACCGCTTACAACACATTACATTAAGTTTCATGCGTAACAAAATGACTGCTATATGATCGTATATGAGTAAAATAAGAAGTTCTTTGGCCGTCGTCACGAAAAAATATATTGTGAAGAATTTCAAAGATTCCGAGTATCTAATCTCAAGCGTTAATCGCAGGTACCTGAGTTTGAAATTCTTAGGTTCTCTGTCAACGAAATTCAAAGAATCCTAAGAATTCCATTATACATTTTTGCAAAGGCAGATTCTTCTGTTTGAACTTTGTGTAAATGCCGTAAATCCATTCTGGAAAAGCTATTTCTCGATTTTTACAGTTTTGCATGATTTTACTCTACTCTAATAATATAGTTAAGACTAGTATCGACATTTATTCTAATTGCAGTTTTAACCCTTTCGCCACGGAGAACTTCGACGCGAGAAGCACGATATGTACATCCAGCTTATAATAGTAATGAAGCTGTAGAATAAAGTATGACGTGATGAGTACAGACGAAAAAATTACAATATGACACACGCGAATTGCTGAGCTCGTATCTGAAAAATTATTACGGGAAAAAAATTTAGCCGTTGTAATGAAAGGGTTAACGATTTTTCATTTCCTACGATTGCGTCGCGAAAATGAATATCAGCGTACAGTTGATCGATAAATCTTTGACATGATATGATGTCAAAATATGTACAAAGAAATTGCATTACTTAGCACAAGACACTTGGCAAGAAACATTAACGCTAATTAATTCGCTTTTAAATATTGCATACGAGCGGGTAACACGAAATTCTTTCCCACCTTCGAAAATATAAAAACGACGATCGCGAATGATCAGTGATATAATTGCTCCTCTTCGTTGGGCTTAATTGCAAATAAAGATTTTCCTGCTTATTTGTTTTTCTTAGAATTTATTGCGCAGGAAATCTCACTTTAGGCCTTATATATTTCGTTAAAATATGATTCCCAATTATATAGTAATCGACAGTAAAAGTGTCAAATCTATTATATTTATCTAATTTCCGCGATTTGATTCATTTATTTTTAAGAAAATAAAAATTTGATTCTTTTAAATTCGGAGCTTAGGCCTCTGTTTCAAAATCATAAAGTACTGACTGCATATTTCTTTAGTTTCAGGTATCTGAGCGATGAGGCGGAACAGTGATACAAGTCTTCCTTTGGAAAAATCAAAATATTTATGAAGATATTCGATGCGCCATCAAGTTACTATAACTTCAAAAAAAAAAAATAAATCAAAATATTTTAGCGATTATATTATAAAAAAGAATATGCCGTATTTAATTCGTTTGCTTCACTAGACTCGCTCATCACTGTTCCGCCGAACGGCAATCGTGAATCGTGCTATCCTGCGCATTGAAAATCGGCGAGGTAGCCACTCGCCGATTCCGGCTCGTTCGCCTGCTTTACGAAGAAGCTATTCGGAGAAAGAATTGTACGTGGTCCCGCGCACGATCATCCCCGTTGATCGTCATCAACACTGCGTCTGGTCGCATTCGTCGTGGGAAGAATCGTCGCCGCCGCGTTTGATGAGCACCCGCGTGTGATTGTTGTGATTGCCGGACCGATTGCTGGCGGCGATCACCTGCACGGTCTGGTGCGGCTGCTGCAGCAGTTGAGCCTCACTCGACAGTCGCTTGCAGTCGTCCATCGGTACCGCCGACTCCGTCGGTTGATAATCACACCTTCTCCTCTCCCGCCATCGGACCTGCGGTCGAGCGGATAAACTGAAACAGTCAACGTTCCACAATGGACTCGACTCGGGCACGCTGCTGTCACTGGCACGATACGGACGAATCATACGTGTCTTTTTTTTTTTCCTCTTTTTTCTTCTCTCTTCGTTCCTCTCCCTCTTCCCTTCCCGTCGACGACACATGATTAGTGGTCCGTTGCGGCATCGCACCCGGTTGCACATATCCATGTCACGCGGTGTATGCGCTGGTTAGTACGCGTGTGAGTTAGCACGTGGATGAGTTAGTCGCGGAGCGGAGCCGATCGTGTGTGTTAGTCCGCATCGCACCATTGACGAGTCGTGCATACGGGAATTTCAATCGCGGGGGGAATGTTACTCTCGCGCGTCAAGCGCAAATTCTCGTTAAAATCGAAAGGGCGCGCCTTTCATCGTTCCTCAACGGAACGTGGAATTGCTATTCTAGGGTTTTCTACGGATCACTATTGCAGCGTAGATCAACGAAGTTCTGTATTCGCGATTGCGAAAAATTGGTGGATTGAAAAAAATTGGTGGAATATCATTTCACATAATTGTAAACTCTTCGAAACCAGAGGTTTCACGCAAATTTGATTCTTTTTCTATTTTTGAATTTTTGAAATTGAGAATGATTCTCAATTTTTCTATATATAAAATAAAATAAAATAATTCCGACATTTGGAATTTGAAATAAAAAGTGACAGTAGTCTGTATGCTCTGCGCTAATCTTTAAAATTACGTATTTATATAGACGCGCAGATAATTTGCGCAATTGTCAATTAAACGCTAAGTGGAACAATTAGTGATACTGCTGTTCTGCTGTTCTTTATCGTGTAAAAGAAATTAAGATAATCTCTCGAGAAAAGCACAAGGAAACATGCTGATAACGCCGAGAAATAGAAAAAAAAAATCCAAGGGTAAGTTAATGTATGATTTCGAAGATAAGGAATTCCATTTCACGAAATGACCTTTCTTTCAATCCATGTGTTCTATGCTGATTATGCTATTATTTTTTTCAGGTGAAAAGCCAGGCAGAGGCAATATTTAGGTCGAATCGGTTAAGAGAATGCTGTACTTTTCGTCAATATTGCATACCGAGACGGTTGTGGCGGTGCAGGAGTTGGCTCGTTTTCGCAAAAGGGCTCTACCATCCCACTTTCTCTTGAATTGCGCTATTACCTGGTGACACCACGAGAGAAAATATCATTACTGGCACGAAGGTTGCTCTAAGGGTAGAAACGGCCGTTTCTGTAGTCAGGAACTTACCTCGCCGTTGCAAAAGCAGAAAAGAACAGCCACACAGAGACCCTAGAAAAGAGAAATTACATTTTACCTCGATATGAGCCTGGGGAGAAGTTTCCAAAGGAAATTCCCATCTTTATTACACAATTCCGCATCAAATAGATATAATTCAGGTAAATTTTCATATATTGAATTATTTAATTACATGGTACAAAAATTAAAACACGCTTTCGTTTATTTCATTATATGTATATTGTGATATTGTGTGTGTGTACGGAAAGTTATAAAATATAATCGGAAAGTATATTTTTTAAAGTCCGTTTTTTCATGTTTTTTTTTAAATAACAAGGATGCTTTCCAAATTACAGCAAATATTAGTTAAAATTTACCTGGAGTGCAAATGTTCATGGAATACAACGCATAAGTATTTTATATTTAAAAATTATTTATATTTATATATTGTAAATTTGAGTGCTTTTTTACATATCTTCGCTCTATTTGAAATAACAAATGCTTAAATAATTAGTAACAAAAAGATCGTGCAGATAACTGATAAATTCTTTACAATGTTCTCACTATATGCAACATTGTTAAGACATGTGCGCGTTTTAATAACTGTGTTTTCCAGATATAAACTAGTTACGCCGAGGGCGTTCGAATCCCAAGATAACTGGTTCACTCGATAGAATCGCTCAATTAAATTGCGATTCTATCGATACAATTTTGTACGACACATAAAGTGATTATATAACAATGCAATCACGTCGTCAATGAAAACGCAGTTCTGCACAAAATTTGATTGCTCCACTCAAAGACTATATAAAGATTATTACTTTCGATGACAATTTAGAAGAATGTCTTTCGCGTGTATTTGAAGTTGAGAAACTTGAAGAAAGATTGAAATCTTTTTTAGAATTCTCGATATTAATCAAATTTTGTCTTGATTTTTAGCATTTTTCTGATATTCTGTAGAAGGAAAGTTTATTTTACCAATTTATTTGTTGGAATGGCACATTTTATCTGTGAAGAATTACAGAATTATAAGTGAAAATTGATCAAATATTAAATCTGCAGTGACGTCTATCAATGTTGTCTGACAAAAGATAAAATTTATTTTATTACATTGTTTGTGCGCTTAACATCTCATATAAAGAATTTACGAAATATTCAATTTATTAAATGACGCACCGAATATCTCGAAAATTGCCTCGAATCAGTCGGCAGCAATAGCGAACATACAGAGAACAATATGCAGAGAATTTCCCATATGTTGTCGAATATTATCTGATGTCATCCTACGCACATGTTGTTAAAGCACATGCAACAACGCACAATACAAGTTTTTGAGAACAGCAAGCTACGGTTGTTACACGATCCGCGGTCGTTTATAATTGATCCGCTTTATTTTAATTGCAAAATGATACATGAAAGCACCAACCTGAAAAGAAGCGGTGAGCGCGGAAAGGACTTCGTAAAAATGCTCCCAAGGATGCTTCTTTGGCGGACGAAACGGGATCACCAAATAGTGCAGACCTAAGAGAGGTACCAGAAGTAACGTGGCCCTGATAACAAGATGCGAATATATCAATCATCGTATGCAAACATACAAAACGCGGGAATTTTCCGCTTAAAAAAATTCTAACTACATGTGTCATTTTAGTGTGCAAAACGAGAAAAACCTGAAAGCTTGCAGCAGGCCTCGTGAAGGGCGCGTTCCGATGGCGGGGCCAGCGCGCAGTTTCATGAGGAGGACTCGCACGATGTTAAACAGGAAAAGCAGATTCAACATAGTGGAAACGCATACAGGATAAACCAGCACGCTCATATAGTTTCCCTCATTGATCCAGCACCTAATGGTAACAGTAATCCAGTAATCGAATCGTTAATTCGTGAACACGAGCCGATGTGGCTAATATTCCCCCGTGCATTTCATACTTGTATGCATTTATCTGCTTTATATATTTGCGTGTTTTTTTTATCATGGATATTTTTCAAACATGAAAATAATATTCCGAATTTTAACGAAGTATAATAACAAATTCCCGACTTTTTTTTTCAAATATTAATTACCGCGTACGCATTTTGCTGCCAAAAAAATGAATGAAATATTTATCGCTTCGTTAAATTATTTTTAGTATTGTTTCTTTTTTTTTACTGAAACCTCCCGGGAAAAAGTTGTTGAAAGAATCGCTTGGGCGCATAGCTTCTCAGATACTAACAGCGGATGCAAGTAGTACATTTTTAACGATTTTATCAATAAAGAAACAGGAAGCAGAAAGAAAAGAATCCGTGTGCATCGAGAATTGATTGCCTCGATTCTTGTTATACACCCAAGTACGTCCACATCATTGTAGACGCTTAATATAAATTGCTATTCTAACAAACTTGATAGAGGAAAAGCTTGAAAAATGTCACTCTCGTGAGAAGCTTCCTGTAATAAATACAGAAGGCAGCGGAAGAGGCGTAAGCAGATTGGAAAATCGCTTCCAAGTTTTGCGCCACTGACGCCCGGTTATAGTTAACGTTTACCATGTGATTGAGAGTGCAACAGAAATGTGTCGACGAAAATAGACGAGCTGAGAGCCAGGAGTAGCGGATGCTGACGTCGGGACTGGAACGATTCGCGAGAAGGTTCCTCTCGACAGTAAAAATAAAACCTTTTCTTCGATAAGACAATATACGAGTCACTTATATATCGGAACGACGGATGCAAGTCATAGCTATATTTTTATCGAGACATACGAGTCACGTTTCTCTCGAAAAAGTAATAAAAAAATGAGCGATTTCGATCAGTTTCAATTAACCTTTCACTATTGACAAAATCACTTGTTCGATATAACGATTCGCGTGCTGCGAATAAAGAAAATATTGTTGCGCGAAAGTTTTGTGAATTTCCATATCCACGATAGTGATTGACTTGACTTGAATATGGCATTATTTTCATCTTGACTTGATGCTTTATAACGCGGTGCCGATATAGCTCGTTATCACGCCGTTTATTTCATCAATGTTCCGATACGTTTCAATCGACGTCGCTCGTAAAGCTATTCGTATACACATCCGCGCAGCATGTTTCCGGCGTTTGGTGCAAAGATTGAATGTCAGTCGTATCCTCATGTTACGCCATTTACTGAAGCATGTACTGCGTCGAAATAGTCTTCAAATAAATTTTGGCATCTATATCGAGTTGTGATTCCAATTAGCCGATAACAGCTGTCATGTTCTAACAATGTCGTATTTACGTCGCAAATATATAATCATGTAATAATATCGTGAATGAATAATTTTTAAGTATATAAAAATAATCGATATGTTGCCGTTTAATTGTAAAAATTAATTAGTTTTTAATCCGAATATAAAAAAATGAAATTACAACGTGAGAAAGTATATATATTAATATCTATTCGACTATAAATAATGAACGCACATCTAACTTGTAAGATTTACGAGATCGTTAATTTTGGTGAGTAATGCAATTTTTTAAAAGTTAGTGAATAGCGTCATCAAGTTGTGTTAATTGCCTAATGTATTTATGTACTTAAGATTTTCAGAGCGTGACATGTCGTATTCAATATTCGAAATCCGTAGAAGTTTTAAAGTCAAGTGACAAACGTGAATCGAGGGGACTTTATTGTACTACGGTGCGATAGACCATGACGTTTCGACCACGTTTCGGGTCGAAATTGCACAACGTGGCGCTTTCAAATCATTTCTATTAATTCCACCAAGTACATGCTTCTAGTTTTCTGGCCGGTGAAACCTTTATACGTATTTTCGTGTAAATTCCAGGCTGCGAAAGCCGCCAGAGAGCTCACAACGCTAGAAACTCCCAACTAAATAAATCATTGTACTCAATGCGAGGCAGGCACGATCCTTGACGAGCCGTTCTCTGAAAAAGTAAATGAGCAATTCTGTTTTCCTTACTTTAAAAACCCGACTACAGAAAACATACCGCTCGTTTACGTACTCGAAAATCCTGATTTATTTTCGAGGATTTTCTCGTAATCCTTAGCGCGGAAAGAGGTACCGATATATTTTGGAAAAAATGGGCAAAATGTTCTATTAACTTTTAAAAGTTTGAAAAAATTACAATTTTAAGATTGATAGAAATATTATTTAAAAATTATCTTAAAAGGGTCAAAATTACAGAAATATGTGAATATTATATAATAATAATATTATATAATGATAATATTATATAAAATTTTAAAGAATTTCAAAGATTACAAAGATTTTGTAGACATTTTTTTTCATATTTCTTGAAAAAAAATATACAGGCTCATAAAGTAGATGATGTATCGTTATTTTTGACAGATATGAAAATATTTTATCTTATTTTACGGTTCTGCCCCTTTCTGTATCTTGTCCTTATAGCGGTCCCTCTCGCGCACAATTTCGCATTTTAAAGGACACCAAGATATTCACATACAGGTTATGTATACGCTACACGAAGCTCTTTTTTACGGCGAGAAAGGTTTCTGCAGTAAGTTATGTAAGCTGATCCTTCTATCGTCTATAAAAAGGTTTCACACAAAAAGGTCGAACGTGACATTTAGAAGGGTTTTAGATAAAAAAGGTCTTCAGGATCGCGTGTACTGTTTTCTTACGTGATTCATCATGACTAAGCTAGGATCGAACAAAATAGGAACGTTCCTAATGCACTTCCGCATTATTTCTTTGATCCTGTCTCGTTCCATAATTTATCATCATGTGCAACACGGGGTATATAAATAAATTGATTGATTAGCGATATTTTGTATACCTTTGATTTTTCTCTCTTAATCAAAATAAATGTGTAAAATAAATAACCAAATGAATGAGAACACTTTGTCTATATAT